ACATACAAAGCAGAACACAGCTAAATGTATCAAAAGCATGTCTATGTAAGATTAGAATTTTCTGAGACAATGAATTTTGGTTTTTCATTTTTTCTCCCAGTAAGAGGTTTTTATTTAATATAATTTTTGGACAAAAAAATTGCAATATATCGTGATATATCGCCTTGCTTATAGTATCGCAATATAGCGGGATATATCGTATCGTGACCCCTCTGTCATGATATGTATCGTATCGCCAAATTCTTGCCAATACACAGCCCTACAGTTTAACAGATGACATTTTACGACACAATTGCAGCTTTTTCAGGCAACTGTTGGGAGTCTTTGGTTTATCAGCTCACAGAGGTAAATACAAATACCACTGACACAGAAACTCATGGACCAACCTGTCCGGCCAACATCTCATACAGCAAAACTCCAAAGGCCCACCAGTCCACCGATTTTCCATAAGGTTGGTAGGCTATAATCTGAAATAAATACCTTGTTAATTTGCAATCATCATAAAAAAGGAGAATATTTAATCATATCCTAAAAAAAAACCCCCATCAGGTCATACTTAAACCCACGCTTCATTAAGCCTGTAATGATGAAGCTGGTCACGTCTCTCTTACCTCGGGAGCGATGTAGTCCGGTGTTCCACAGAATGTTTTGGTTGTGATTCCATCATTCATATTTTCTTTACACATCCCAAAATCTGCTATCTTAATATGGCCCTCACAGTCCAGCATCACGTTGTCCAGCTTCAGATCTCTACGCAGAAATCAAATGATGATGAGAGAAAAAAAAAGATAGATATAGCTATAGTTGCATTAATTTAGTTAGCATTTTGTATATGTACTCCAGGTCAAGTGGAAAAGTTGTTTTTTTAAGCCTAACACGGAGAAACTCTTAAGGTGTGTGTGTGTGTGTGTGTGTGTGTGTGTGTGTGTGTGTGTGTGTGTGTGTGTGTGTCCTTGTTTTTGCTACTTGGTGGGGACGATTTTTCAGAAAAAATACAGCCTCATGGGGACCGGATGCAAAGCCTGGTCCCCACAACTTTGGAGGTCGATATTTATTTATTTATTTATTTTTTGTGGGGGTGGTTATTAGGTTTAGGACCAAGGTGTGAATTGAGTTTAGGTTAGTTTTAGGGTCAGGTAGGTACCTGTGAGGTTAATTTAGGATAAATGGTCAGGGTCAGGATGTAAAATTTCCAAAAAAATGAAWGGGAGTCAATGGAAGGTCCCCACAGAGGGTTTAAGAACAAACGTGTGTGTGTGCRTGTGGGATTATCTCCAAAAATTAAATTCAAATTCATCATTGAGTGAGTAGATTTTATTAAGGCAGGGTTGCATGGACTATTTCTGAGCATTTTACCTGTAGTAGAGGGCAATCAGTTATCTCAGGTTTGGCAAATCAGCGAGGTTCACGTGGTTTTAATAAACCACTGTTCAGAAGGGGTTTGTGTTAAAAGCACATTAATAACCTCAAAATCTTAAATGATTTAAAATAATTTACATAAATGTTTTTTTGGGGGTGAAAATCTGTTTGCAGGAAACTGGTTGATTGGACTGAAAACCATCCATGTTGGAACGTACTCTGTAGTCTGCATAAAATATGCAGAATTGTAGAATGGATCATGTTTGCTAGGAATATGAGGTAAAAGTGATACAAAAACTGTGTTATGTTATGTCTAATAGTAAATACTCACTCTTAAATTACTTTCTTCAGGTGATCTAATAGCCTGACTTATTCATCGGAAAAGTTCTCTGATTCTTCACATTGAAAATGCCCCAGCTGCTGTCTGTTGCAGGTAACTTCCTAACTCTTGATGACTACTCCAAAAAAAACTACACATAAAATATACTTTCAAAATCTGCTAAAGGTGAATTATTTTTTTCTTTAAAAAAATTACCCAACAAACAAAAGTAAAACCTTTCCCAGCTCCTCTGTTTACATTCACATTAGCGTGTGAGCAGGATCAGAAGCAGCAGCTTGAGTTCAGCAGCTGAATTAGCTCACAGGCATCGCTCCAGATACGTTTCTAAATGTGCAGCAGTTAGCTTCGACTGTAACAGGCATGACAGATGAAATGAAGAACACAGACTCTCTTATTAGACTGAAACAGGACCAGAGGTGGAACTGCACAGGGTAGAAGTTTCCAGTGTGCCGGTTTTGTTTTTGTGAATGGTTTGATTGACATGATCTGTTTCCAGGTCTGATTGGCTAAAAGAAACAAGCCCCGCCTGCTAGATGAGTGAGAGGGAAGAGCAGAGAGGCTGGTGGTGTTGGTCTGATATCTGTTGGTTCCTGCTTCTTCCTTGCTTTAGTTGGGTTTGTCTTTTGTTGATTTTGGCTCTCAACTCCCTGTTTCATCTCAACATGATTTATTTTTATTAAATGTTTTAAAATTGTTAGAAATGTCTGGATTCCATGTTATGTGTCTTTTGAGTCACTCCTAGGCATTCAGACCATAACACAGTGGTTTGCAGATGTGACCATGTTTGGTTTGTTGTCATTGCTATGCATTAAAGTGCCTGTGACACTTGTATTTGTATTTTTCAAATACAAAAAGTCAAAGAAAACACCCTTATATTTAAGAAAGTTGGAACAATACACACAATTTTACCCATTTTGTCCCATAACTGGCCTATTTTCTTTTGAACTTGACTCAGCCAAAGTGAAACAGGAAGTGACATCAAAGTGGAACTTGTTAACAAACAAAGCTCCCTGGTCTTTGTTTATTGAAACAATAGAATTTGAACTCTGACTCTTCTTCATCTCTCTCATAGTGACTCAAAATAATGTTAAGAAGCATCAGATTCTTCTCTACAGTCTGGGTTGTTGGCTGTTGTCGCACTGCTCTGTTCACATTCAGACATTCCCCTTTGACATCACTTCCTGTTACTTTACAGGCAAATATCTCAACAACTGTTCATCTCAGCGACATGAAATTTCTTTTGCAATATTTTGTCAATGACATCTTTTCAAAAGTGCATTCATTTGTATTACAAAAATTTGACCTCACAGGCACTTAAACTCTGTTCAGTTACCTGTAGATGATGCCCTTTTGATGGAGGAAAAAAAGACCGATGGCGATCTCAGCAGCGTAGAAGCTACAGAACCAACACAAGACAAACAACAATGCCAATTAGAGGAAGGCTGAGGGAAAGGACAACAGAGGGGCAATTAGTGTGTGTGTGTGTGTGTGTGTGTCTGTGTGAGAGCATAAAGGTCAGCGCTGTCTCCTCAGAGCCAGAGAGCAGCTGATAAGATCAACAAGCGGGGTCTCTGCAGACTGACCATGCAGTGAGCTGTGTTTGCACTGTCCTTTATAATCAATGTCTTTGTGAAGTGGGTTTCATAAACAGATATTGGGGGGGGGGGGGGGGGGGGGGGGGGCAATGGGATCAAACATGCAGAGTTAGTGTTTGTTAGACTTGTTGATTCTGACGAAAAGTTGACATCATTACAATTGAAAACAGAGTCTGTTAGTTGCACACTGTGGCTGGGAGAYATGGCTGAAAACAGCATTGGGATATAAGAGTTTCATATCAGTCGATAAGGATAATTATTGATTAGGTTTTTTTTTGTGTTACTTGTTTGAAATAAGGTCCAGGAGAAAAAAGTCTGATTAATCCCGCCAAACGAGAGTTGGGACTTTTCCTCTATTATCCAAAATTTCCTCTCGAGCTGTTGCAATCATTTCCTCCTTTCACTCCATGTCCTTCTTTTTACTTTTAAGCGTTAATTTTTAGTCTTTTCAGTTGTTATTGTTAAATGTTTTTGAGATCCATGTAATGAACCCACATAAATATGTTCTAAGGAAATTCTGAAAAATAAAAAGTTAAAATCCGTGCATGTGAGCTCTTTGGAACAATAATCTATTGCCTGAAGCTGCCCATCTCCACCAGAAGTTACAAAATAAACTTGGTATTTGCAACACTGGGTCACACAATCTCTGTAAAAACTGTAAACAATAAACAAGCTGTAATTGCTCCAAAAAACAACTAAATAAAGTCCCAAGAAAGATGAGTTCAAACATAAATGTCAACATTGGATATCTTTAAGATTTTTCTTTTCAAACAGGCCTATTCTAGCTCAGTTTGAGGCCATTTCTGAGCTTTGGTTGATGTTTTTATTAGTGTCATTTTATTGTTGTGTTACTGTTAGTTTTACTATTTATTGGATATTTTGTTGTTTTGCGGCACTTTGAGATTTTCATTATTGAAAAGAGCATTATAAATAAAATTTCTTCTTCTTCTTCTTCTTCTTCTTCTTATTATTATTATTATTAATATAATATAGAAGTAAAATATTCTGAATATCTTTGAAAATCACAGACAAAATAAAAAATGATGCTGGGTTTACTTACAGACAAAAAGTTTCAACTTCACCACGGTAAATTATGTATTCAAATGATGTGAAACTAAAATCGTCTCACTCTGAAAACCTCAGACTCACAGTGAAGCACAGTGGTGGCAGCATCATGCAGTGGGTTTCTTTACCATTACCAGGACCTGGGAAATTAGTCATAATTGATGAATTCTTGTAAATCTATTGAAAAGAAGTCAAGAAGTGGAGAAAATGAAGAACTAGTTGGATGACTTTATGATTGCAAACCACCAGAACTCTAAACTAAAGYAGCACCTGACCTTCCCCACATCAACCCTGCAGAGTGTGTGTTAATCACAGACTTGTTCTTTTCCCCTGTGTTTGTGCCCAAGGAGAAGCAACGCTCCCTCGCGAGCTTCTATTCCTGCTCGCTGACACTATTCTGTGTGCTCGCAGGRAAATAAAGTAGCAAAAAAATGAAGAAGAAAGCCACCCGGGAAGACTGAATTTCTCCTCACAGACACCGTTTCACGCACTTGTATCGCACACGTGCACCTGGCCGTGACGTGCGCAGCTTTTGGGAACTAATTAAAACGGCACGCTGGTGGCTTGTTTCCTGAGAATCAAAAAGAATCGCTAAGCTGTAAAACATCTGCACGATCTGCTTGGGATTACGGCCTACACGGCACAGACGAGGTGTACTCACACAGCGTGGGGCTCTTTGAACCTGCCAGCCTGCTGGATCTGATACATGAGGTCTCCGCCGTTGATGTACTCCATGACAAAATACAAGCGGTCCTGCCGGAGAGACAGAGGAGGCAGGTAAATTACTACAGAGGAGAAAGAGGTTAGCCAGAGGGAGAGGGGTCGCAGGAGATAAAAACCAACAGACAGGAGCTGAAAACAAACACCAGAAGTTAAAACTGGAAGATAATAAAGGAGGAAGAGGACAGAGAGGAAGGGGCGATCGGGTTGTTGTAAGAGCTTCCAATCAGTCTTCAACCCATGAAACTTTGACATCAATTTAAGAACCTATTGTCTTCTGTTAGCTACAGAAATTGCCAATAAGGTTTAGTCTGTGGGAAATTTAAAGGGGTTTGGCGAGTGTGTGAGTGGATACATTTTTGCTACATCATGGGGACCATTTTCCAGAAAAACACAGACTTGTGGGAACCCAATGTTCCTCATGGGGACCAAACCATGGCCCCCACGGGTACGGCTGCTGATTTTGGCTGTGTGTTAGGTTTAGGACCAAAGTGTGAATTGARTTTAAGCTAGGGTCGGGCTTGTACTGGGGTGGTCAGTTTTAGGGGAAAGGGTCAGGCTTAGGCTGTAGGAATGAATGAAAATGAATGGAAGTCAATGCAAGGTCTGCATGGGGATAGACAAACAAACTTGTGTGTGTGTGTGTGTGTGTGTGTGTGTGTGTGTGTGTGTGTGTGTGTGTGTGTGTGTGTGTG